CGGAGGTCTTTCAGAACAGACCGCCGGTAATACCGCCGGTCTCAGCAGGAATAAGCCGGAGGCTAAATCGCTGGCGAAACCGCCGTTAATACCGGCGGTTCATAGACCACCGGACATAACCGCCGGTAATTAGCTGTTTTCCTGTAGTGGAAATGGCAGTTGCGACGCTAGGCCACTAAAAATATTTTTTAAATATATTTTATTATAAATATCTTTTCCACTGCCTCCCTCACCCTCATTCGGCTGGCTTGCACGGGAAGAAGGAGAAGGAAAAGGAGAGGGAGAAGGAGGAAGAAGAGGAGAGAGAGAAAAAAGAGAAATGCTTTTGTTTTGTTTTTGTCCGATGTTCTATTTACGAATATTGTTCTAATCATTATAAGTTACTATCATCTTTCTTCTATTTTTGATAATTTTGATTTATACAGATTTTATCTCTCCAAATCTACTAATAATGCATTATCTTCTGATTTTGATGACGTTCACCGCATAATTTTTTATATGTTATAGATTTGATCATTATGAACAATTTGATATGATTGTATTACATTTTCACTAGTTAAAATTATGTATAGAAATATCTAGGTAAAATGAGCATAAAAAGTGTATAATAAAATTAGGTTGAAAAGTAGCGTACCCTGATTTGCCATGATATATGATGAAATAATTGAAGTGATATATATATATATAATGTACTAAAATGATACTGATTTATATGATAGAATGATGTAGTGACTGATATATTGATAATAAAAGTACGATTGATCGTACTGACACATCAACGTAATAGTACGAATGATTATACTGATTCATTAATGACAAGAGTATGAATGATCGTACTGATACCCAAAGAATAAGAGTACAAATAATACTGATATTACTGACCAGTAATCCATGATCATACTTATAGCAATGTCAGTATTAACCCAATGATTTGGTTTGAAATGTTGGGTTTGGATTGATATTTGGGAGTTGAATGGTTGAACTTGGATTATCCATATCAGTTAAGTAAAGTAGATGATTGTGATTGATTGGATGTGATTTGGAAGTTGATTGAAAGTTGGACGGGAGATTGGATTAAAGGGTAGAACTGAATTTGATTATATTGGGGTTTGGTTTTGACTATGACCTATATGGCTGAGGAGTGAACATCTCCTAGTCATCAGGTCACTAGAGAGAAACTTAGGTAGGTCCTAGTAAACTCATATAAAAATGAAGTCAACAAATATATAATTATTAATCCTGTAATTTTGTTATTCTTCTAACTGAAATATTTATTTTTTTCGTTATTCTTCTTCCTGTAGTTTTGTTAAATAAGTATGTAATTACATAATTATTAAATCTTTTAATTAAATAAAAAAATTAACAGAGATGAATTATTATAAAAAAATTATACTTATTTTGAAGTAATAGTAGATAATATATTTTTAAAAGATTAATTTAAATTAAGGTATTACATCTTAAAAAAACCATAATAATTAAAAATTATAAAATATTTCATAAAATTAGATATAATTTTAATTTATAATTATTAGTTTCTTATCATATAAATTAAAAAATTATGATATTTATTTTTTTTCATCTCAATATGTGGAATATAAAATTAATTTATTAATTCTACGGTTAAACTTTCCAAATAAAATATACCGTTGTGTAACAATTTCAAAAAGCAGCTTTCTATAGCAATTTCACAGCCAGCATTACCGGCAGCCGCCCTGAGTTCTGTGTCCGGCGTCCGCACAGTAACCAAGCAGAAACCCGTGTTGGGCCATTTTTGAAGGAGAAGCCGAGAGAGTTACAGAGGAAGTTCGTTCTTCCATGGCTGCCACTCGCCGGTATTCCTGCAAGACTGCAGCAGAAACCCTAGATTGGATTAACGCTATCGCCGACTTCTTGTTACGCTTCAGATCTCTCATCGACGCCCACGTCGTCAATTTTTTTAAGGTCGAGTTTAGGCCAAACTTTTAACTCATCTACAAAACCCTAATTTGTATAACTTTCTTTTCTCCAATTCCAGTTGCATGGTTGGTTTTGGTTTCCTGCAGGACAGGCTTTGGGAGACGATAGACAACCAATGGATGGAATGCCTCAGGAAGGAGTCTGTAGAGAATTTATTGGGTATACCATCTGCGCTGGTTCAGGTATTTTTTTTTTCTTCTCTCAGTAGCATTGATGGAAACCTTGAAATCCTTGTCAAAATAAGAAATTTTGATGATACTTTTTCTCTTTGAGAGGTGGAAAATGCCAGATTGGAGGAAATGCAAATTTAGCTCTAAAACAAATTTATTGATGCTTAACGGTTATATATTCGTTCTTTTCACAGGAGCACTGGCCTTCTTCGCTTAGAGAGTTCGTAGCCACATTGAGGTCTCTCGTGCTACCTAGAGAGCAGAATTTGTCAAATGCAGTAAGTTCATTGTGAAGCTCTTTTCATCCTGATGATGATTCTCTCTTTTTTCGTGCTTTCATCGACAAACTCCATTATCACTTAACAAATAGCATAATAACCTACTCGTTATTGGTTTTTTAAATATCTCATTGTTATTCATTTTTTGACGATTTGCATAGAAAAGCTTGCATAAAGTTTGTTTTCATTCTACATGCTTTAAGAAAAGTGACTTGTAAATAGATTACATCCAATTGAGCATCATTATTACAAATAAATTGCTTATTATCAGTGTCATTCGACTTGAAAGTGCATTGGCATCAATTCCAATATTTACATTCCTAATCATGTCATGGATTCATCCAATCATAATAATCTTATGAACGAATTAAATGTGACTATTTGGATTTGTTGTATGGCCCAGGACTTTTGGCTGATAGCCATCTAATCCACTCTAGGTTACTGTGATTTTAAAATGATCACCAGTCCAAAGTGCTCTCAACTGCTCCCAATGGTTGATGCAACCAAAAATTGGATTGCCAAGACAAAAATCTTCCTTTCATAAAAGACATAGACTAGGACACAAAAAAAAAACAAGAAAATAAACAACAATAGACACAATATAAAAAAATAATGCTAATGTGACACACAAGCAAGACTTTCCTTACTTAAAAGACACAACTCAAATGAACAATACTTTCTTAAAACACAATATGACTTTCATACTTGTCTAGACACAACACAACCAATTTACAACTAAATATTTTTAGAGAAGAAAGATATTGATGGGGTGGAAACTTACGGAGAGAAGAAAGAGATTAGAATCCTGAGATGAATTCATAGAGAGGGAAAGGGAAAGTGGACTAGCTTGCAAGCTAGAACAAAACCCGTAGGTTTTACATTCCAAATATTTTATCACACAAAACATACTCTCAAATGGCACAAAACAACCCCAATTTATAAGTGAAGAAAGGGAGCCAAACAACCAAAATAGCCGCCCAAGAAGCCAATAAGAAAGGGGGAGGCAAAAAGACAAAAGTCCACCGCTTGGAGCAGCATACGAAGAGGCACGCGAGACATAGCCAACGAACGGACAATGCCATGGGAAAAGAACCGAACAGGTAGAGGAAACAAAGAGGCAAAAACAGGGGAAATGAACCCAGACATCCAAATGAGCAACAAGAACTCAGCAGCTAGCAACTCAAGTTAGCTAAATGCCAAGCGAATCGGGAAAGTTATGCAGGAACTGAACAGCCCAAAGTAAGAGGGAAGGCTTGCTTACATCAATTATCCTCCGATTTAGAGACCTCATCTCCTGATGAGATGACATCAGAACTTCCATGAGGTGCCGAAGGAGTCTTATCCAATTCTGAAATTAAAGCCGCGTACTTTCTCTGGATCATTTCTTTTTCTTTCTTAAATTGGGTTTGCAGAAGCTTCTTTCTCCTCTCGAATTTTTCCTTACACAAGTATATTTTATGTTGAATTTTATAAAGCTCGTTCTGTATGGGATCTGTAGAATTTCCTTGCGGAGGGTTCCATCGGTTCTTAGGAATAGATTCTTCAAGATCATTTGACTTACTTTATCCAACTTCAAGCTCAATTACATCATGATTTTTCATTTTTTCTTCAAGACTTAAAAAAAAAAAAAAAGATCCAACAAAAACTTAGGCTCTGATACCAATTTGATGCAACCAAAATTTTGAGGAAAACTAAGGTTGCAAACAACTACGACCTTCCTTTCAAAAATGACAAAAATAATGCTAATGTTACACACAAATAAGACTTTCCTTAATATAACTTAAAAAAAGACAACTAAAACGAACAATACTTTCTTAAAAACACAATACAACTTTAAATAAAAAGGCACAACACCTTACAACCTTTTTGTAGTTTGAGAAGAAAGATACAAATGGGGTGGACACTTGCGGAGAGAAGAAGTAGATTAGAAGCCCGAGACAAAATCAAAGAGAAATTGCTAAGGCAGCCAAAGGAGCACCAGGAACTCAGCAGCTAGCAACTCGAGTCAGCCAAATGCCAAGGGAATCGGGAAAGTTATGCAGGAACCGAACAGCCCAAAGCAAGGGGGAGGGCTTGCTTACATCAATGGTTGCATGTCTGATTTCTTTCCATTTTATAGTGATGAAAAGTCAGTTTGAAGTCTACTATCATAATTGTTATGGCTTGCTAATTTTTCATGGTTTCCATTATATCATGAGGAGCTTGGTGTTAGGAGTGCTTTCCTTTAATTCTATGGCTGTTGTGACAATTAAAAAGTTATGATCTGACTGTTCTCAAATTTTGATGGTTTTTCTTCAAGATCATATAAGGAGCTCGTTAATTCCGGTGCTTTCTCTTAAATTAACTCCAGGCTCTCCAGCGTTAAAATATCTCAACCCAAAAGGAATTGAATAATTGCATGATGTAAATAGTCAAGTCACATCTGTTCTGTGTAGAATTTAGTATAGATGTATTATTATTTTTCCTTAATATTCAATTTCCTTTCTAGATTTTCAGCCAGTGGGTAACGTTGTTGCTAATGAGCAACAATTGTTGACTTTAATGCTGTTGAAAATTTACTTTCCGCTAATTTCATCTTTCTTTTGAAGTATATGCATGTGCTCCTTGATAATGCTTTTATTCAATAGAGTAAACTTACAAGACTTATGCAAATGCTCATACTTAAAAAAAAAATCATTTAATCTTCAATTCTATCAATATCTTTGATAATTCATGATGGTTTCTGTTGTGATATGCTGGAATTTTAGCTTCAAACGCATGATCTTTTCCACATAGTTTGCTATAGCTTCGTAATTTGCTAGATCATGTTCACTAGAAATATATTTTTGTGCATCATTCTTGCAGGTTTTGGGCCAACCTGATGGATATTATTTTTGTAGTTTTGATTTTCACAATTTATGCTTTTTTTAGCAGATTTTGGAAAATTTCCATGCAGTTCCACTTGGCAGCGTTCTCTCTCAAGGAATGAATTCAAAGAAAAAACATGAGGTGTGTAAAATGAAACATATAGTCTGCCTGTGTAACTTCCCTTTCACTTGTTTTAAATATATTTTTTTTCTGCTTGGTGGTCTTATGTCCCAGATGTGATATTAGTGTTTCTCAAAATCAGTTTGGATTCATGTCGGGTAGGTCTAATATGGAAACTATACATTTGTTGAGGGTTTGATATAAAAGTATAGAGAGAGTAAGGGGGATCTACATATGATATTTATTAATTCAGAGAAAGCATATGATAAAGTTCTTAGAGAAGTGCTTTGGAGAGTTTTAGAAAACAACAAAGGGTTAATAATGCTTATATTCAAGTCATTAAGGATATCCATATATGCGATGTTACTTGTGTTCAAACAAGGTGGTTTGATCAAGTATTTTCCTATTTTAGTTGGATTACATCAACGATCAGCTTTAATAAGCTTTTATAAGCCCATATCTTTTTTGCTTTAGTCATGGATGTTCTTACTAGATATTTGCAAGAGGCTGTACCTTGGTGTATGTTTTTTGCTGATGATGTTATTCTTGTTTATAAGACTAGAGAGGGAGTTGATGAAAAACTTGAATTGTGGAGGTCAACCTTAGAGTCTAAAGGTTTTTGTTTGAATAAATCTAAAACCAAATACATGGAGTGTAATTTTAGTAGAAATAAATCGTGATGGGGTTATGACATTGGGTGATCAAGTCATTAAAAAGAGTATGTTTTATATATCTCAGATCTATTTTTCAAAGCAATGGTGAAATAGATGTGGATATTATTAGTAGAATTAAAGTTGGACGATTGAAGTGGAGGAATACATTGGGCCTGTTGTGTGATAGAGAAGTACTCCTCAAACTTAGGAGACAATTTTATAAGATGGCGACGAGAGCTGCAATGCTTTATGGTGCATAATGTTGGTCATTAAAAGAGAAGCATAAAATTAAGTTAAGTATTACAGAGATGAGGATGCTAAGGTGAATGAGTGGCTTTACACTTAGAAACAAAATGTGAAATGAGTATATGTGTGAAAAGGTTGGAGTAGCTCTAGTGGCAAATGAGGTTAGAGAGAGTCACCTTGGATGATTTGATTATATAAATCATTGACCTTCCAATGACCCTGTCTGATAGGAGAGTAGATGTATTAGATCTGATCTATGTTAAGAAAGATAAAGATTGACTAAAAAAAGATTTAGTTTGAAAGTATTAAAAATGATATTTTTTATTAGATTTAAATGAGAATTTGACTCTTAATAGGACACAATGGGGAAAAAGTATTCATGTAGCCAATCCCACGTAGTGTGATAAAGGCTCGTTGTTATTGTTGTTTTGTCTTATGTCCCAAACATTTCTTCAAGAAAACTGTAAGTGTAGCCTACAGTTTACTTTATCACATGTATTTGCTCGGATAATTTTTTGTAAACTACTGCATTTTCTCGTGCAACAGGTAGAAATACTAGCTGCTGCTGTTAGCACTGTTGCTCGTGGTGTTAATGCCCAGAAGATCATTGATGTTGGTTCAGGACAGGTACCATAGTTTGGCTTTTAAATTCACATTTAAACTGTTTATTTAGTGAACTCATTAGATATTTCTTTGCTACTCCTTTTCATTCAATGGGAATGCATTTCGTACTTGATTTCATTAGGTTTCTGCTATTTTACTTTCCATGGTAAACAAATGAAGTTTATTTGGAAGCCAAGCAAGTTTAGCGCTAGCTGTTTTTTTTTTTAGACTAGCTTGGCTTCTAGGGTTTAACAGTTGGGAGCTACTGTGTCTTGGAATGGTTCTTTCAGGGTTACCTTTCACAAGTTCTATCATTTGAGTATCAGCTTTCCGTGGTAGCAATAGATTCTTCTTTACACCATTCATCTGTTACGAGTGCTCGTGCAAATAGAATAAAGAAGCATTATGCAGCCAAACTGCATAAACTTCAACATGGCAAGCAATCTGTTAATCATATAAATTTATATTTTTTCTTACATGTCTGAGTTCCTTGATTTGTATGACTTCATATGCTTCTCTATGCAGGAGATGAACTTCTAAAGGTGCCTCAGACTGTCACTTGCCAAGTACTTTCTAGCGAATCTCTTGCGGCTTTAAGCATAAGGACAGTAGATGATCATATACAAGCTGATGGTATGGGGAGTAGTGCAGAAACAACTTTCCTCAGAAGTTCCGAATCTGATGTATATAAAGCTTCTAGTTTATGTAAAAACGGGAATATAGGATATTTAGTTCTTGCTGGGCTTCATGCTTGTGGGGATCTGTCAGTAAACATGTTAAGGTTCATTTCTACACTTTGAAATCGATGAACTTGATGTTGGATGTAGATTAATTCAAAGCTGTTTTTTCTTATAGATTAAAATATTACATTTCTATGGGAGAGAGTTATTGAGCATAGGTTAGGACGTGATACTAATGTTTCTTAAAATCAATTTGGATTCATGCTAGGTAGGTCTACTATGGAAGCTATATATTTATTGAGAGATTTGATGGAGAAGTATAGAGAGAATAAGGAGGAGATTTATATGTGATATTTATTGATTTAGAGAAAGCAAATGACAAAGTTCCAAGAGAAGTGCTATTGAGAGTTCTAGAAAAGAAATGGGTTAATAATGCTTATATTCAAGTCATTAAGGATATGCATGCAAGAGCTATTACTTGTGCTCCATCATAAGGTGGTTTGACCAAGTATTTATATCTAGGATTAGCCTTAAGCCCATATCTTTTTGCTTTAGTCATGGATGCTGTTACTAGACATTTGCAAGAGTTTGTACCTTGGTCTATACTTTTTGTTGATGATATTCTTGTTGATAAGACTGAAGAGCAAGTTGAAGGTAAACTTAAATTATAGAGGTCAACCTTTAAGTCTAAAGGTTTTCATTTGAGTAGATTTAAAATTGAATACATAGAGTGTAATTTTAGTAGCAATAGATCTAGTGAAGGATTGTGACTTTGGGTGATAAAATTATTAATAAGAGTACACATTTTATATATCTTTGGTTTATTATTCAGAGTGATGGTGAAATAGATGGGGATATATTAGTAGAGTTCAAGTTGGATGGTTGAAGTGGGCTTGTTGTGTAATAGAAAAGTATCCCTCAATCTTAAGGAAAAATTCTATGAGATGGTGGTGAGATCTGCAATGCTTTATGGTGTAGAATGTTGGCCATTAAAGAAAAGCATAATATTAAGTTAAGTGTTGCAGAGATGAGGATGCTCAGGTGGATGAGTAGTTTTACTCTTAGAGACATTATGAAACGAGCATATACTTGAAAAGGTTGGAGTAGCTTTTATGGCAGAGAAGATTAGAGAGAGTCGCCTTAGATGGTTTGGTCACATAAAACATCGGCCTTTCGATGACTCAGTTAGGAGAGTAGATGTTTTAGATTTGACTTATGTTATGAAAGGTAGATGTGGATCTAAAGAAGACTTTGTTAGAAAATATTAGAAATGACATTTCTTTATTAGATTTAAATGAAAGTTTGACTCTTAACTGGATAGTTGATAAAAGGATTCATGTAGCTGACCCCATATAGTGGGATAAATGCATGATATTGTTATTTTATTAAAATATTCCATTTCATGTTCACAGTTTATTGCTAGTTATTTTCTTTTAGGTTTTATATATTTTTTAATTTTTATTTTGGGTTCTTCTACATATATGCAAATACATTAACAGGGCATTTGTAGACTGTGAGCAAGTGAAAGCTCTTATTAACGTTGGTTGTTGTTACAACTTAGTCTCCGAAGAAAGTTCTGAGAAGACGAGCATGATATCTGGTTTCCCACTGAGCAATGGTGCCAAATTGTCTGGGTTAACTCTTGGAAAAAATGCACGTGATCTTGCTTGTCAGGTACGCACAAATGCAGTAACATATTTTACATTCTGTTATACCCCTAGATACATTATTTCTAACTAGGTTCATCTAAATGCAAGATAGGCAGAAAAGTACTTTTAGCAAATTTCTTCCTAATGCAAATTTCATCAAACCCACTCATTATCTCATTATCTCGATGCCTTGTTGAGGGTAGAATTTTGTGTCTAAATGTTTTGGGGCCTAAAGAAGTTGAGGAATTTTTTTTTTCACAGCCCATTTTCACCTTCTTCTAGACAATCATAAGGCGTAACAGAAGCAGACAAATTATTTTTTTATTAGATTAATTTACTGTTTTGTTATTTTTATTAAGATTTACTTTTTGCCAAATTATTCCTTGTTTTATATTTTGTAATCTTAGGGTCCTTTCGCACGCACTCCACCTACCCCTTGTTCTATTCCCCTACTTATACGAGAAGCATCTGAATCCGGCCAACACCACATTTTGCAACATTTTTGCCATAATTTGCCACCAGTTGTAGATTTCCTTTGACCATGATAGCAAATTGCGATTTAGCCTATGTTGCGTTACATGTGTAGCTTGTGCATCAAGAATTAGTGCACCGCTATCTAATCTCCAATGCCAATCTCGACCTTGTGATCTTTGTTCCACTACAATACTGTGTTGCCTTAGAGATCCCTTGCCATTCACTCAAGTAAACCTTGACGGTTGCATGGAATTGCTTGCAGAACTTCTAGTCCATCCTATACTATGTCACAATAACCTCCATACATGAAGCGGGACAACATCCTTTTGTTACCTACAATAAACTTGACGTCCTGCTATCACCTTTTGGAGGAGGACGATATACATTAGTGCATATTTTTTGGGTTAAAGAACTTTTTTTAGTAGAGAAACTATGGATGCACAAAACTCAATTGTTCCTATATATCTATAAACTCATTGACTTAGATTTATGTTATTAATTTGTAAGATTTTAGATCTTAAGATTCTGTCTGTGCATGAGGATGTCAATATTATGTGAGAAAAAGTGACTTGTGATATTAAGAATAGTGCAAAAGATGTGCTTGGAGTTTCAAAAGAAAAGCTCATAATAGTAAAAATAGTTGGTGGTGGAATCCAAATGTGCAAGAAAAGATAAAAAATAAGAAGATTTGTTATAAAAATTGGTTTAGATGTAAAAATTCTGATAATTGGGAAAGTTATAAAGAGGAGAAGATTTGACTTATGTTAAGAAATGTAGAGGTAGACCTAAAAAGACTTGGTTAGAAAATATTAGAAATGATCTTTCTTTATTAGATTTAGATGAGAATTTGACTTTTAATCGGACACAATGTAGAAAAAAGATTCACATAGCCGACCCCACGTAGTGCGACAAAGGCTTGATGTTGTTGTTGTTGTATTTGTGTACAAATTATTAATCAGTCCTTCCTTAGGGTGTTATCTACATGTCAGTCTTGTTAATGCAGCTACATGCGTGTCATGCATCTTTGATGTGGTATGGCACGTCGCATATCCACCAATAGGTTGGCATTCTCTTGACATGTATGGCATTCCAGCACCATTTAATTTTATTGCACATCTTATTTAACATTTTTAACTGATGAGGATATCGTTCAGAGATATAGACATGTGTACCAACGACAGAATCGTAGATCGACGACTACAATTCAGATTATTTACTTTTGATGCATTTTTATGTTTTATTTATTTATTTATTTTAGTTTTCTAAGTTTACCCCTATGAGTGTTTTCTTATTGTAGCCCATAGGGCATTTGTGTACTTTTCTTTTCTTTGTGTTTGAGATCTATATATAGTGATCTTATGCTTTGTAAAAGCTTATTGAATGATTAAATGAAATTTTGATTTTGTCTTCTTCTTGTTGTGTGAGCACTAGAGAGAAGAGAGAGCTCGACCTGAGGGCAAGCGTAGTACCCACCAGTCATTGGAAGAGTCTGTGGCTTGTGATTTATCTTTCGTTCCTTTTTGTTCGTCATCACCCGCTGGCTTCTCCTTGTTCTTCCACCGCCGACCTACCTTCAAACTCCCTCCCCTAGACCCAATTCAATTCCAACTCCCAAAACCCCACATGCCGGCCTAATCCCTTTCCCCACTCCCCAACCCAACGCCAACCCCTCCCTCTTCCCCTTGTTGCCGACCACATCCTTGTTCCAAGTCATTATGGTGATTCCAATCATCTTAACAACTCCCTAAATTGGCCCAAGCAAGAAATGAAGGTGTTAAAATATTTTGAAAACTTTCCATATTTACAAACCCTAAATAAGGAAAGTTTTCAAATTTAAATCCAATCTAAATTTAATTTAGAGAGGATTTATTATTCTCCTTCCTATTTTGCAAAAGCTTGTTTGGAAATTATTTAATACCTCCCCAATCCGCTCCCTCTTCTCATAATACCGCCGGCCCCACATTAGTGGGCTTCCCCTTGGTTTTCCTATTGAAGCTCTCAACCTTAATTGAATTTGAATTCAAATTATCAAATTCAATTCCCTCCAAATCTCCTTAAATCTGAACTAATTTCTGATTTAATAAAACCCACTCTCCCAACCCTAACCTAATCTAGATCCCACTTACCCAAGCCTTCCCCTTCTCTCTCCTTGGCCCGCCCCTCACGTTTGCCTCCTTCCCCTTGGAAACCCTACACCTCTCATGTCTTTGGAAGCCAAAAGAAGAAGACAAGCTCCTTCCTCCTCATTATCATTGGTGTATGGCTGACCTTGAGGTTGACCACGGTTTTGCTTACAATGCACAATGAGAAATCGATATCTTTCTCTCTTCTTTCTACGATCCGGATTAGGATTACGAAGACTTCGTGGAGAGATACGTCAACCACATTCTTTATTGCCTTGCCGAGACGATTGAAGATCCACTACCCAAGGAATCTTGGCTGCTCGTCGGCCGATCAACGACCTCTTCTCCTCAGGCTACTTCTCCGACGAACAAGACCTTACGCGCCACTTGTCTTGTGGTGGCATCATTAGGGTTGCTTCTACCATTCCTCCGCTAAACCCAACCTCAAGAGCGAGTGAGAAGGAACTCATGGTGAACACTTCTTGATGTTACGCCGTGGATTCTTGTTTTGTTGCTATTAGTTTTACTATATTGTTTTCGTTGCTACTTGCAATTTCTTTGCTAATCTCCTTATAATCACTTGCTACTACTTAATCTTTTAGCGGAAAATTCTACGAATTCTACTTGGTGAAACATACATTTTTAATTAGCAAAGTTAACACTTAATCTATTGTTAATTTCCAAAACGACTCTTGTTCACTTGTATGTTTCACATCATTAACTTTGTGGCACTAAACTTTTTGGAAAAAAAAAAGTTCTTTGTACTTTTTTACCTTAAATGTTTCACTTATTTGAATTAATCTACAAATAACATACAACAAGTGCCTCAAACATATTTTTGTGAGATGCTCTACAACCAATACAAAAAGATACAATCATAATATGATTTTTTATGCATTATACTCAAGATGGGTGCCAAAGAAGGACTTGATTATATTGAAAAACAAAGCTAACATGGGATACATATCTTAAAACGATAGTAAAGAACTCAATAAGGTTGATATGTTGGTGCTACTAATGACTATATTAACTGGTTTCACTTTCTTGTTGAATGAATATTAAGTGACAGCCCCTTGCATTTTCTCTTCAGAGTGCGGAGAGGTGGAAAAGCTTGACAAAAAAAGCTGCTCTGCAGAATTTTGAGTTGCATGCATTCCGTGCCACCTTTCAAATGGTCATTACCTATCTATACTTTATAGTCTTCAAAGACATTGTCTTTGCATGGTAGAACAAATTTATGTGTTCCATATGTTTTTCTTCTACTCTGAATTTTTTGGATGAATTTGTTGAGCAAATATTTTCCCATAACTTAGCCGTTGACTTCATTTCATTAAGCAGCATTACTTTTATCAATAGATTACGATATTCTTCTTTTTTAATGATTTCTTAAATCATGCCATGCATTGTCCTGCAACAACAGTTCCGTGATAGTCACAAGTTTCTTTTTTGACGCAATAAACTACGATTAAAAAAATGATTGAAGTTATTAGAAGAAGATAACTAGCTTATGAGCCTACAATTAAAAATTCAATCAAAGGATCAAACCCCAACTATTTAAAAAAAAGCAGAATAACGAAAGAGTAGCTGAAAAACAAAAACTCACTAAAGAGGAAGTACAATAGTTTAAAAGAAAACATAAAATGTCCAAAATCAATCAGTAGTTTGAAAGAATAATCCAACGAAGCTTTATAAACTGATTCTATAGAAATGAGACCAGATTCCTCCATTTCCAAACCAATTCAAGGAAGTCTGCGTCACCTAAATCCTCACAAAGTAATAACAATACCAATTATGGAATATTGAACCTACAAGATTAACGGTAGAAAATAAACAAAGATTTGAAAATAATAAGAATAAATCAATAATGAACCAATCAATGTTAATCCAGAAATTTCTAGAAGAATCCAAAATTTGAGTAAGAATCAACATTTAAGACCAGTGCTAGATCTCAAAATTGGGTTCAAGCTCAAACAAGAAATTTCGTGATTAAAGAGCATTATTAACTACTAACAAACCCATAATAATTGAATTTAGAGATACAAATAAAACCAAAACGTCAACATTAATGAGATGTAACAGGCTAATAAAGAGTTAAGAAGACAATGAAAATGAATGCCCATTGAAGCCACCGCTAATAAGGCTCACAGCAAGTAAAAAAAGCAGAAAGCAATCCATACCAGGAAGGAATATAAGTATATAAGCAATGGCACATATGGACTTAGCGAGGAAGGTTATAAAGTCAATAACACAGATTACTTAGCTCAAATGAATCAATATAACTACATCTTCTTTGCCATCATAGCTCGATTATCAAACAAATAGACAAACCTAAAACACATCCAATAGCAGGATATAAATTGAGCTCAAAAAGTAGGAAATAAATAAATTTAAAGGAGTATCGATGTCCACAACAATAATTGAATGTCCAAAACCAAGACTAAAAACAAAGAACAATGAAGAATTGATGAATGTAAAGAAGCCCACTTAGCAGGCAAACAATAATGATCAACAAAGTGAATATAACTTCTAAGAAGAGAAAAAAGACAAGCAAACTAGATGTCATCACTAAAGAGATATACCAGGCCAACAATGTATTAAAAAGTAAACTCAGAAAATGCAACATTAAAGAAGGGAAGCTCCCATTAATACTTCCTCAAGTTTGATAAATCCAATTTGTTTGCATCAATCAAATCTCTTGATTGATGGGAACATTATAATTTAATCGACACAAGCATCAAGATAATCATCATAAATGATTAACTATGATTAACTAGTTAGCACAAGAATTCTCTTCACTTTATATATAAGAAATTGAAAAGTGGATATGTTGAAGATATCTAAAAAAACGTATCATTAAATACAAATATTTTTTATTCCCCATTTTCCGATCTTTAATAAGGTTAACCACAACCAGGGCATCGATTTCAATCCAAATATTATTAAAGCAAAGAGATGAAAATTTTCAAGGACATGGAGAGCCAAGATTTCAACGGCGAGAGAATAATCAATGGAGAGGGAAGAAGCAAAAGAAAAAACAACTTCACCATTAGAATTTCTGATGATCCCACTACCCCTAGCAATGTTGGGACCAACCATACCGTCAGTATTCATTTTAATAATGCCAAGGGTATGTTTTCACCAATAAATGATGCAATTCTTGGAGATAATATGCTTCTTTGGAATACCTAATTCTATACATGGAATATCATTAGTGATACCTTTGGTATGTTAAAACAAAAAAGATTTCTATTGTTCATATGATGTATCTTACTGTAGATTTCATTTATGACTTAATTATATTTTATAAAAGAATTATTATATTTGGCTTCATTCTTTTCCAACCAAAGAAATCAAAAGATAAGGAGACTAAAAATGTTAAGGATTTTACCATTTACTTTTCTTCCAGAAGCAGAGACCCAATACTGAAATATTTCAAGCACAAATAAGAAATGTACAAGAAAAGGGAGCCTTAAAAATCTCATAAAATCAAATCCAAACTGATTGATTAATAAGGCCATTAATGAAGACATGCTTTATTGTTTATATGAAAACAACAAAATACATTTGCAAGCCAAATAGAACCCCCCTTTTTAAGAATTTCATCAATAGAAAGGAAGCTCTTTAACAATCTCTATCAAAAAATAGAATAAGGGACAGGAGTATTCAATCCCCAAATGAAATTGAAATCAGAAGCAGGTTGTCTAACCACTTTTATAGCATTCCAGTCTTCTTTAATATTATATTGACCCGAATAAGAATTTATGAAAATAATGCAATCTTCTTGATTTAAATTGATAGGAGTGTTAATAATACCAGCGGCCCCCCCCC